GTCAGTTCTTTCTCGGAAATGTCTATCAGATTTTTGGAAGAAATGCGTCCTTGAATAGTATTAAGGCCCTTGTGTGACGTTATTTTCACAGATATTAAACCTATGTGAGTGGCTTTCATCTGTCGGCTGCTTTTGCATTAGTGGTTTTGATCAACAGGTCACCGGTGCTCAGTTCAATAACTGCACTGTTGTCAACGCATATGTGTTTTAGGCCTTTTTCAATTTGAAAGACGTTATATGTGACCTGGTCTACGGAAAGGGGGCTTAGGTGTCAAAAAAATCAATTTTCACTTTTTGGTTGATTCGGATGGAAGATGAGATGATTTTCACTTTTAACAGCTTTTTCACAGAAAACTTTTTTCGCACGTAAGCTCCCTTTTCGTAGACCAGGTCACATATGAAGATAAGGGGTGGATTTTTTCTTCGATGATTGGTCCCGTAGGACTGGCAACTATGAGACGAGGAATATGGTCATCGTTTTGTTTTAGCTCCGGGAGAGGATCAAAGTCATTAACTTTAATGCGTTTTTGGGGTAACGATATGTCAGGATCGAGCAAGCGAAGCCTGTTGCTATCGGGGGAGTCAGCTCCGTTCATTATTGCGATGTTTAACTGCTGCACTGTATAAGTTTGTACTTTATGCTCTTATTCACTTTATGTGAAAACTGTATACTATTGTGTAGAAACACGAGCGCTAAGCACCAACATGTATTTATGTATTTTCAAAAATTTGGGTAGGCGCTGTGAACAATGGTAACTCTTGTACCACCTCTGTATGCTGAAAGATATACAGAGCCCCGTGAGACAACTCCGGAGAAGGTGTGATGCATCAAGCTGAATTATTAAGCATAATTTGGGGTGCCAGCAATTTACTACTTCAGTAGGTTTTGTTTTCCGGCAGTTGAAAAGTCATTGTGCCTAAATAATTTTTAACATGAAATTTTTGCACATGCTTGTATATAAATACAAACGCGTTTTATATCCGGTTTGGTACCAGTTTCGTGGGGTGTCGTGAGTATTCGGCTCGAAGGACCATGGTTAACTCAGTGAGAGGGCAGGATCAGGCTGAATTTATTCAAGCAAAAAATTTTTGCTAGGCGTCGGGCCAATGATAACCATCAGTTACCACCTCTGCATGGTTGTAAGTCCTTCAGAGCAGATCTACCACTTTTTTTGCTAAATTGCGTTTCTACCACAACTACCACAGAAACCGCAAGCTTAAAATTTACGACATTTTACAATTTTGCTCATTTTACAATGCGAATTATTTTGTCATCCTTGATTTTCTGTTGATTTTGTGTAATATCGTGAATTAGACAATTGTGAATACGACATTGGCTCTAATTTTTACATTCCATTTTCTAATTGGTTCCTGTTTCTTTTCAACACGTACCAAATTTGCTAGATGCTAGGATCAGTGAAATGGTGTAATTCATCTGCGAAATCAATAGCTTTAGACGGGAGTGCACAAACTGACGAGTTTATGAAAACGGGGCATTCCAACGTGACGGGTGGACCATTTTAACTCGTTTTTGCTCAAAATTTAAGTCATTTCTCTTTAACCATTTATTGGATAAGTCTCAAAATCTTAACACTTAAAGTCAGATATCAAATTATTATGAAACTAATAAAGTATAAAACTTAATTTTATAGTTTACACAGAAAATTGACATTTTCCAAAAGTGCGGGGGGGACAACGATGACACCCGCCTCTCTGAGTTGATGGATTCGTTTCCCAATTTTAGACAAACTATAAATATTTCGCTCAAAGCGCTTTTCTCGTATGTAGTTAATAGAATGTTAAGACCCATTTCATGCTTTAATGGCCATTATCATATTTGAAAATAAAAAAAAAAATCCTTTAGCTTGTTGTGCGTGGGACAGTATTTTGTGACGGGTGGGACGAGTCTTTATTAAGGATGCTCATTAGTAAAATGAGCTCTACTTGTTTCACATGAATATTTATTATACTTTAAATATAATTACCTTATTTCCTATTTTCAAAGTCAGGTAAAAAAAAAAAAAAAAAAATTGGCTGTGACAGGTGGGACATCCAATAAGCATTTCTTTGAAAGCTGTCAACTTCTTATCTTATATAAATCTTTTTTTGTAATAAGTCAGCTCTGTTTTAAAGTTCATGAAGTGTACTTTCTCTTTGGATAACTACACAAGGGAACAGTGATTTTGTTGCGGCAAATATTTAACCTGCTTTTGATAGACTTTTTTGTGCTAATTACGAATCTGTAACTATAAGGTCTCCATCACCTCCAGATTTTAAGAAAAACCTGTCAAAGTGTCAAAAAATAGCATTTTTTGCAATATTTTAGAAGGTCTAGCAAAAAAAAAAGGTGATCGAACCCTCCACTTAGGCTTAAAATAAAGCAACAACTCTCGGCTAATATCCCTGAAAATACCATCCGTGTACCTTGACCTGATGGTCACTAATAGTCATTTTTTTAACAATATAAAAATACTGGAATACTGTGCTATTTAGCTTTAATTTAAGCCTAATATTGCCTTATATTCTTTGCTTTAGCTTCTAAAATCTTGCGAAAATCGTGATTTTTTGACAGTTTGACCTCGTTTTTCTCAAAATCTAGAGCTGATGGAAACTTTGTACTCACGGATTGTAATCAGCACAGAAAAGTCAATCAAAATCAGCTTTAGCATTTGCCGCAACAATTTTTTTTTCCTTTATTTAATAATAAAACCATTACCGGTGGAAGATAGTTCCGGAGAAAGCTCATTGTGTTTTGACATACCTACATATGCGAAATACGTATGTGTTTGTTTTTCTTCTACATTAGTAATATATGTACGTATGTGTGAAAGTATTGTATCTTTTATAGACTAATAAAAGACTTAAAAAACTTAAATATTTTATTACATACATACTAGGGCGGAGAAGTGCATGTGCCTAAATAATTTCTAATACGAAATTTTTACACATACAGCTTTGCACATGCTTGTATATACCCTGCAAAAATTTGAGGACCAGGTGGTCCACTGGGTCGTAGTTTTAAAGTATGAGCATAAGGACCAGGTTGCATACTAAAAACTTGTTATGCTGACCTGGACCACTTCAAACGTAAAACACTGATATATGTGTTGAACACCACCTCTTCGTGGCCGATCGGCAATATGATTCGGTTGCCGAATGTGCCATGGTTCAAAAGGATTAGTTGTCTAGGTGGTCCCATGTTATGCAGCATTGGACCAGAGGTGGTCAGGTCCAATGACATCGCAATGTTAATGTAACCATATTTTCTCCATATATTTGGACCATTTTGTTTACTAGTGTTGGTTACAAGGCAGTGTGGTCCTGTACTAGTACTTAACCTAGTCCCACTTTTTGCAGGGTAAATACAAACGTGTTTTATATCTGATTAGGTACCAGTTGCTTGGGGTGTAGCATACCTTTAGGCACTAGGTATTATAAGTCGCCTTAACAGTATAACTTTATAAGTTATCATTAGCTTTTAGTACATTCTGATCACAAATGATGCTAAAATCTAATTTTTGAGAAAAAGGATATATAGGAGGTTGTCATGTTCTTGCACTGAACAAACCTAAATTTTCCACAGAGCTTAAGGACAAAGTTTACAGACAGCTACCGATTTTTGCTTTATTCTTTCTATAATTGTAGCTAAAATTATTATTTTTCTAACCCTTCGGAGGGCGCGCCTCGGCAAATTAGCCGCAAAAATTTTAATTTGTGGTTTTGAAATACTAATTGTAGTAGCCGGCCACTGCCACTTAGTGACTTTGCAAGTTTTGAGATGCAACATAGTTCACAGTTAGCTGCCACTTGCTGCGTTATATCGTTCGGTTGATATTTGTATTTGAAAGTAGGTGTCTCATATATGCGGCTGAATTTCCGCGTCGCGCCCTTCCGTGTAGCAAAAAAATTTGAATGTAACTCAAAAATTTTTTGTTAAGATAGTTGGAAAACTGCCTTTGTGATAAGGGTCTAAATCGAAATTCTTATTTTTTAAGTATTTTGTCATGTGTAATTTTAAAATTATACTTTGCGTACACATTGTAACTATTATGATATTCATTTTCTTAGGTTTTAGAGAAAAAAGGACGTTTTTAAATGATGTATTTTAGAACGAATTTCCGTGGAATTTGGTTTGGAGACAAACCGGTTTCGGCGTTGTGTCATCTTCAGTGTCATTTTTCGTTCTCTCGGAAACAACAATAACAGAAAATGAGATGTTTTGAAACTTATATAGAAGCGAACCAGCTACGCAACAGAAATTGAAACCAGGAATATGTACCAGGAATAATAAGACAAAAATTTGTTCTATTAATTGTAACAAAAATGTTTGCAGAAAACATTGCTAGCATATTTCACAATGTACAGAATGTACCAAAACCACTGTTAATGATGACGCATAAAAATTTAAAAAATAAATACTTATAATATCTTTCAGTATAAACAGAAATTATTCAAATGTCTTATTTGAATGATTGTTTGACATAAAGGAAAAAAACAGTTAACCTTTGAAATACACCTTGAGGCTAAATTACCGCGGCGCGCCCTCTCGTGTAACTTTCAAATCGCGCCCTCCGAAGGGTAAAATTAAGGATGTATGGGAGATAGTCTTGTCCAAGAACCGAACGAAACGAAATTTGCCACAGAGCTTAAGGACATAATTTTACAGACGGCTACTAATTTTCGCTTTGTTCTGTTTATGGTTGTAGCCAAAATTAAACTTTTAGAATTAAGGATGTATGGGAGGTAGTCATGTCCTTGCACCGATATTGACGAATCTTCGAATTGTTTTAACTTTACATATTCTGAAGTAGCACACCAAATTTCATTTTTTTGCGATAACTCTCCTAATTTTGCCGATTCTTTATATGAGGGCGAAGCACTGGGTGGCGTTACTAGGCAAACTACGGGAACTTTAGAACCTTAACTTTTACATATATTTTAAAAATACATATAATACATATCTGTGTATGTGTATACAATTTTCATATATTTCGTTTCAGATACAAATAACAACGCTTTGCATATCAATAAGCTTGAGTGCATCCGTGGCTCTCATTTGCTTATACTCTCCAAAGGTTTACATCCTAGTATTCCATCCTGATAAAAATGTCCGCAAACTTACTATGAATAGTACAGTTTACCGACGATCTGTGGGCGCTTTTGGCGGCGGCGGTGGAGGCAATACGGCACAAGCAGTGACCACCGGTACTTTTGGAGGCCATGGCTGTGGTGGGACTGGAAGCACATCCGGCTGCAGCCGATCACACGGCATCACTGGCAGCGTCAATGCAGCCAACACGACCGACTCGACAATCAACAAAAACGTTCCACCGCAAATGGTAACACAGCGTGGACATGACGTCGCAGAATCGTATGACGCCCAAAAAACAACAGAAGCGGAGGCAGTAACGGGGAAATATATTCCTTCGCACGTGACAAAAGCAACAGAAAAAGATGTGCAAACATATGCGAACCTACAACCAGCGAATGGTGATGATGATAAGCCTCTAGGCGAAGCTTTGGCAATGGCAGAAACGATTCGGCGTCGTCTAAACGCAAGCACAAATGCGAATGGCGTGGCAGATACGGCAGTCGGATGCGAATGTATTAATATGATTAGCCATAAAATAGATGATCACTCAGCGCCAAATGCGAGCGGAAGTAGTGGCAGCCTCAAATCAGTTATAGACTAAATATGAATAATAAGTTCAAATCAAGGCGAATCAATATAAGGTGATAGCAGGAGTACAAAAACAAAAATTTACATGTATTTTGTTTTTGCTTTGGTGGCATAAACTGTGAAAATCTGTAAGAGTGTGTGTGGAAATTCAAACAAAATTTTTCAATTTGATATCAGAAGCCGTGCGGCGAAACACATACACAAAATCAGCTGAGCTAGTAACACCACCTTATATAAATTCGCCTTGGTTCAAATTGACTCGTTCTAAGTTGTTGAATGAAGAAAAGCTTATTTTCACATCACAGTTTAGATTGAATTTTTAAGGTAAAAGTTTCAAAAAATCTTTGCCAACACGTTCACGATTCAAGGATGTCGCCATTCATGTAGGAATATACACATAATTAATAACATATAAATTGGGAAAATGAAATTCTCTTATTCCAATAATTATGGACATAACACTCGGTCACAGCCCTATTGTAGCTACATCATAGGTAAAGTTTAAAGTTGGGATCAACTTGTCAAATAAAGTTAAACTACAGGCATCTAACTCTAATTTATTTTTCATGCAAATATAGGTTCAGGTATTTTTTATGAAGTGTGAAGTAAAGTGTTTTGTGATATAATATTACTTTTCATTTTATGAAAATGGTGCAAGGCCTAATAAAACAATTGCATGTACTATTTAAAAAAAACACAAGATGTAAAGTTATACCTTGGGTTTATTAATGCAATATATACATATAAATACTTATTTCTTGCTTACAATGTTGGTAAAATGTAAGATGTAATTAAGTAACTTAACAACTTATTCAGAATTTTTATTGTAATAATTTAAATTGCAAATTCAATTTTTCGCTTTCCTTTTGCGAATATTTCTATTATCCTTTCAGTGTCAATTTCAATATCTAAGTGTACGTGTAAAAGTGCTAGACCTATCAGGCTTTCTTCATTCATGGTACTACGCAACCATGTTTTTAACCGGATTGAAAAACTTCTTTCGGAAGTAGCCTTACTAGCTGGAAGTGTGACCAGAATGCGGAGAAGTTAATTAATCAATGGAAAAGTATATTCGTCGCATTTACCAAGAACTTCTGCTGCTGATTTTGGTAATGGCTTTTCGCTTTCCTTATTTGTCCATCGTTCCAACTACACTTTATATTCTCCTTCCAAATTGATACCGTCTTTTTCTAAGAAAAGTTCGTATCGTTTTCCAAGCGATTTTACGCGTTTGATAGCATTATTTTTTTTCAGGCGTGTTATATTCGCCAATTTTAGATGGAAGTAATAAGTTCAAATCAAAAATGTTTAATGTCTCTTTCGGCAAACTTTTTCGGAGATCGTGCAAAATATTATCCAACAGCGGCATAAATATTGTTTTTTGATAAAAATCTTCAGCGTTAGACGCACGATAATTAGCCCGAGTCTATTCGCGAATTCGATAGAATCAGCTATTTGCGTGACGTCAACAGAAATGCTTTGTTCACGTATAGTAGTTATGATAATTGTAATAGTAAAATTTGTTTGCTCTCAAAACAAGCAGAAGAACTAGCAAAATATTGACGTAAAATAGTTACTGCTGATTTTTACTAGCTTGGCGTGTCTTTGTTCATCTTTATAAAATACGCTCTTATAACATAAAATTATAAAAACGGTAATGAACGGTTATGATAATGTTTTTAATTTTTATTATATTTTTCAAGTCATTAATATTTTTATGCGCATACAAATGTCTGCACACACAGTTGAAAGTGAAATTTCCTACATACGTGCACCGCGGAAATAGACAAAAACTAGTATCAGAAAGTTCGATTTGGCATTCATACATACATACATTCATAGTATTTACATACCCATTGTTTTAATTTTTCACGTTGACGAAGAGTTTTACACGATTTCTTATTCTATAAATAACCTTGTGCAAGCCTAAAAAATGGTTACGATTGAAGATTAAAATAAAAAAACTTTGAAAATTGTTGTTTTTTTTTAATTTCTCGTTTGAGGTAATATATTTTATCCGAAATTTTGCTTTTTCGAGCTCTGGGGGGAGGGGCGATCGCCCCCATCAGTAAAATCACAAATTTGAAGGATAATTTTCTTCAGATTGTGACCCCGTAAAATTTGTTTGAAATATTCGTTAAATTTTAGTATAATAAAGTGCAATTTTATGCCACTAAGGCTTACCATTAACTTTTGACAATTTTTTTTTTGACATTGTTACGCATTTTTTTCATACAAAGTAAGTACGTTCGACCATTTGTTTGAAAGAGAAGAAAATAAGCAGCACTTTCCACTTGCATTTTATTATACTCAATTTTAATAAGTTACAAAACTGCAAACCAAATTTTTTATTAAAGATTCTAATTAAGGAGTTTGAAATTTTGGTGAAACATTGCAGAATTAATATTTATAGTTTTTTGCATAAAGTTGGAAGCTTGGTATTTTATTGTTTTTGTTAGGAAAATAGCTTTACTTTCATAAAATGAATAATAAACATTAAATAAACCAAGGAAAAATAGCCAAAACTTACTAAAATGTCGAGTCCTAATTTCTATTTTGGTCACTGTATGTATTCCTCGATTCGAATCACAGGCATTCAGATTAGAAAATAATAACTGTTTATAGAGAAAATTACGATCATATACCTACATCACTTAAAATTCGTTCATAGGCTGTTAAGGTGTCGAAACACCGAATACGGGACAAATACAGGACATTAAAAGAAATACAAAACATTTGGCGTCCCGTACAGGGTTGCCACTTTGGTAAATTGTTACCAAAATTGGTAGAAAAAATTTGTGTTGGTAAAAACATAAATCTTTTCTCATTTTGGTAGATTTTTGTTGGAAAAAAATAAAACTTTTCGTTCCCGCTTTATTTTTCGTAGTTATCTTTATATTACAAATTTCTATCCAAAATTTCTTTAATTTTTGAACGCTTTAATGCAAACTTTTTATATACATACATACATATGCAATGTATATTATACATAAACAGTGTTGCCTACTTTTGTATTTGAAAAAGCATTAAAACCCAAGAAAAATCGCGTTTTTTCTCGAAAAAAGCACCAAATTTTTGATTGGAAGATTTAATGGACTTTGTATGCATACAAAATTCTATTGTAGTTATGCCGATTCAAATTAATAAAAATTAATGTTTCTTGCTCGGCGGTCGAATTTATTCTATTTTCTATAAATTCAAATATTTTCGTCAAAATGACACGACGCAAACATTTTTGTTCTGGTTTTCTAATTTTTGTTGGTTTTGCTTAATTTTTTCTACAATTCCTATCAAACGAAAGTAAGAACAAACATGTAAGAAAGTCTAAGTTCGGGCGGAGTCGAACATTAAATACCCGGCGCAAGTATTAAATATATGTTTTTCACCTTTCCGAAAGCTACCGCTACATGGTAAGCCGGGGAGTCATGGACGTAGCCAGGTAGGGGCGGGGGGTGCACGAGCCCCCCTAACTTTCAAATTTTCCTTATATATATATAAAATGTACCCTGAAATGCCAGCTTAATAGGGTCGTTCCCCCCCCCCCCCCCCTCCCCCTAAATTTTCTTTTGGCTACGCCGATGCGGGGAGTATCAGTTTTGAGTAAATTAGCGTCCTTAAATTTCGAAATATTGAAGTTTCAAGCATTTCTGAAATTTACCGTTATATGAAAAGCGGCCGTAATTTTAGTCCGATTTCAATAATTTTCAACATTTTGCTTCTATGTGGCAAGCGCAATAACCATACCGAGTTTGGTATAAATTGGTAGAACGGTTACCGAGATATATATATGTGATCATAAGTGGGCGGTGCCACGCCCATTTTCCAAAATTGTATCATAAGCGTATTTCTTGATAAAGAATTGTTGCAAGCATCAATTTTGAATAAATTAGGCTTAATATTTACTGATTTATCGAAGATTTCGTATTTCTCTAAATTACCGTTATATGGGATGTGGGCGTGATTATGGTCCGATTTTTAAAATTTTCGGCCATTTCGTATGATATACCAAGGCCAACCACTGTGCCAAGTGTGGAAGAAACTAGTGCATCGGTTACCAAGATATACACATGTAACCATAAGTGGGCGTGGCCACGCCCATTTTCCAAAAATTTATAATATTCTTATCTCTCGTCTAAAACTTATTGTAAATATCAATTTTAAGTGAATAATCTTCAGTAGTTACTAAAATATCGCAGTTTTCGTATTTCTGAAAATTACCGTTATATGGGAGGTAGGCGTGGTTATTTCCCGATTTTGCCCATTTTCAATACCATCCGTCCTACGCCAGAAAGAAGTGCACGTACAAAGTTTCGTTAAGATACCTCAATTTTTACTCGAGTTATCGTGTGCACAGACGGACGGACGGACGGACAGACAATCACCGCTTAATCGATTTCTCTTTTCATTCTGATCATTTATTACACATTTGTCTATATCTATCTCGATTCGTTTTGCCTGTTACAAACAACCGTTATGTGAACAAAGTTATAATACCCGCTCGGGTATAAAAATTAAGTTTCATGAACTATGTGGAAGTTTAAGTCTACACTGTAGTCTCTTTTGGACTCGTGAACTAAAGGAACGTAAGGAACTTTTCTTTCCGACCGCTTCACACCTGAAACATAACAAAATTTGATTTCCTTTTTTAAAGTGTGGTGTTTGAACGCATCCACCGGCGCATAGTGGAAAACCCCTTTTGTGTAAAAAAAGCTGCCTACTCGATTATTCCTTTTTTAAAAAAATTCGTTATTTATTTTACTGTTACGAGATGCTGGTCCTTTTTTTAATATTCGTAAAAAATATAACAAATTCAGCTCAAACTAAAGATCGATTCCTGGTCCCAGCAACATGGATGTTGTTTGCAATGGGAAATTACCGTATGTAATTCTGGCATGATTAAAAGTGCTGCCACATTTTTTGAAAAACATATTCTCTTTCGCTTAAGATTGATATTGTGCCATGATTTTGTCTCCAATTTTGTAAAGTTCCTTGCGAAACTTCCAATTGCTCTAAGTTTAACTTTCATTTTTGTTTCAGATTTACAATTTTGGTGTCTTCAAACTAAAAAAAGTACCAATAATGCACCAAGCACCAAACTGAAAAATTTCCGCGTTTTGAATTAAAAAAATAATTAAA